GCAGGCACTCAATAAACTTTGCTCTCATTTTATCCCCCCTTAGCCAAGGAAGGAGTAAAAGACAAAGCTTGTTTGCCACCAACTACAGCAGCAAAAACACCCCAACTTACATCTCCTGAAACTTTGTTTACAATTACATGTATGTTTGGGTTATTTAATTTCTTTCTTTTAAGTGGAATTGTGTGGCCCGGGGTTAGCAAGGATGCTAATGAAGTTAAACAGCGGAGGAGATTACACTGCAGCATGGAATATAAACATTGAGGTCTCTGCTTCAGTGTTTATCTTCAATGATACCTCCTCTCGCCTGGGTAATTATCTCTCGACAGCAGACAGTTCTCAGCAGCAACGGATAATTCCATTAACATTGCCACTTAAACACAGCCTCACTGGGCTGCTCGGTCCCCGCCAGCTTACTGAACCCCAGGGGCCTCATATCATTTTGGAATTAAAATAAGAAAGTAAATTATTCAAGCACATTTGTTTTTTTTCCCGAATAAAGCTCTGCATATCCTTGACTCATCGTTCCTAAAAATAAAATGAAATAAAATAAAAAATGTATTGTGGCCGATCATGTTATTCAAAGCAATTCAGGGCTTGCTTTATTATGAATTCGGGGGTGGTGGATAGTCAAACACGACTAGTCACTGGCGAGCTGGTTTCTAACTGTCCGAAGATGTGAGACAGGTGGTGAACTGTGGGGTGGCCTCCTCTTAATAGTAAATTCTACACTTTCTGGAGACTTTGAAACGCTACGAAAGCATCCTGGTGACAAAGTCCTCATCGTGTGGAGACTCAGCAGGTGTGATGGAGACATAGAAACTTACCAGACAGAATAAACGAAACAAATTTCATGAGAAAATCCTCCTGGGCTTCCCTTATTTAAGATGAGAGCGTGTATTGCCTGTCTGGGTGTCAGTTTCCCAGCTCTGTGTCTGCCTGGTCTCCTCACTGGTTGGTAGTTTTAGAAACAAGTGTGTGACAGTCCTTGTCAATAACTTTCTATGTGCAGGAACTTCCCTACCTGTTGTCTCTCTTAACCCCTAGTCCTCACAATAGCTTTGCCAGATTCCTGGGCTACAAACTCCCCTTTCACAGCCCTACCTGTGCACGCTGCCTGCTCCAGGTCCCAGGTAAGGACCATGAAGCCCACAAAGAGAGATAGCCCAGCTGACACTGGTGTCAAAGGGTGGAGGGAGGGCTTCCACAGACAGAGCCCACTAGGCTTGTCCTCGAGAGCAGGGAAAATGTTTATCATTCCATTTTCCTGCGCGGAAAGGGCTTCAGGCTTTCTGTCAGTGCTAAAGATCTATCTCCTTTCAAAGATAGGAAGTCAGGGTGTCTGCAGAGCACACGTATTCCCACTGGGCTGACCCCAAGGTGACCTTTACACTCCTCCCCACCATCTGTTAATTCCTTGCATCTGGGTGCCGATGGAAGTGTGGACAGAATGAATGAATGAATGGAGATAAAGTTTGCCTGTCTTGCAAAGCTAACACATAGTAGGCACCCGAAAAAGCCTTCTTCTGATTAAAAAATAGTATTTATTTACTAGCTCTGGCAAAAAGGATTTATTTATTTTGCTCAGGGAAAAGGTCAAAGGGTTGACTTGAATTAGGTCTGAAGGTTGGCTGGAATTCAATTACCCATGACCCTCTAGTCCCTCCTGCCAGCCATGATTAATGGAGGCTGGCTAAAGTAGGTTGGGATTAGTAACAATGCAATCAACCTTTTCTGGAGAATAGACGCTGGAATTATCTAAGGAGCATTCTCAAACCAGATGAGATTTCTTAGGTTGGAAATATCCTTGCGACTAAGTCCAATAACAGCAGGGCTCAGCTTTGGAGACAAAGGACGCACACGGGAAAGCTGGGGAGTCCTGGCTCCTCTTTTTATCTTGAAATCAGAGGGCCCTAGTAGCCCTGCCTGACATCGGTAAATTATCATCAAGGGCTTTGGATGGTATGGGTCCAGATCCTTAAACATCTTGCTCGTGGATATTTGGGGCATATGTTAGGGAAAGAGATCAATTGCAAACTAAAGTACTGCAACCATTTAAAGAAAGAAGAGAATTTATCTCACCATCACCACTTTCCTTTCTTCCAGTAGAGATTTTTCCTCTCAGCCTCTTTCTGAGGTTTATCTAATCTCATTCCAGGGGGTGAGGAAGGCCTGGAGAACCCAGGAATCAGGAAGTTTCTTTTTATAATAAAACATGCTTTTAGAGCTGATCTCTCAGAAGGCATTTTAAAGATATGATGATAATAATAATTGTTGCTTGTCTGGGGCTTTTTTGTTATGATCTGGTAACTTTTTTGAATTAGTTTTCAGAATTTCCCAGGCCTTGGTCCTTCGCCTAGCCATCCTAGCCATCCTAGTCTTACTAGCCATGTTAGTAGGTCAGGGAAGCCCAAAGAGACACAACATGTGTTTTCCCTTTTGTTATAATTCCCACTCTGGACTTTGCTTTCTGTCTAGCCTCGTTTTCAGGGCCCACAGCCCATCCAAATTTGCAAGGCTGGTTTATGGAGACAAGTTAAAGAATCATTAAGGCATCTACCCTTTGCCCCCTCTTGGCCAAGCTTCTTAATTAACTAACTTGGTTGAAATGCAGTCCAATATTATTGGAGTAATTGCATTTATGTGTCCAAATAACTTACCTGTCCCTATGCAGAAGTCCACTTTCAGCTAATAAAAATACATATATACACGCAATTTGACATGTATTCAAACTCACAAAATGAGCTCAAACTTGAAAGAGATCCAGACTATAACAATGTTTATTATTTTTAGAGCATTACCTAGTCATTTTGATTAATTCTTTCTGAGTGCTTTTCTCTGTAGCTCCCCAGGGAGAGACAAGGGAAAAAGATGAGAAAAACATAAATTTCCTTTGGTGATGAGTTCACATGTTTAGAACTGTTACATGGCAAATCATTGTGAAATCTGCTAATGGGTGTCTGTCCCATGCCAAGTAAGCTCAGGACCCAAAGCACATAAAGAAATAATTGAAAGACCCTGGACTGAATCCAAAGGCCGTGGCTAATGTTTTACCTAATCTCTCTCCTGGTCTTGCCTGCCTACTGTGGCCCCTCCCCCACAAGATATGCACTTCAGAGATTTCTTGCAGCTGCGTTGTGGCTATTTGGACTTTCTCACCTCCTGGCAGGAGAATGAGAACTATTATGAAGCCAAAAGCATAAAAGGTGGAAACATTAGCCACTGTAGTCGGTAGATGAAGACTGTTGGAAGCTAGCATGTGTCACCCTCCTAAAACAGTTAATTCTCCTTGGATGGGGGGCTGGGGGGGGAAGCTGATCTGGGAAGGTCTTAGCCTACATAGGACAGACCCAGGGCTGGGCAGAGGGTCTGGAGATGACACTGGATGAGATGCTAGGACTCTGCAGCTTGTGAGGTAGTAGTGTCTATAAGCTGGGAACAAAAGTTTCCAAAAAAGCTCATTTTGTTTTCAATTCTTTTTATCTTGGCTCTAGCTCAGCCACCACTGACTCCAACTTTAGGAGATAAGGGTGGGGTAGGGTGGGGTTTAGGGTTATTTCTCTTCTTAAAAGGAAAGAACAGAGAATGCTCCCTGAACTTTGCTTGAAGGTGATCATAGTTGTTAACCGAACATTGAGCAATCTTTGCTTCTCTGTCTCTGGAAGTGGCATTTGCAAAGGTGCCATTGACAGATGAGAGAGAACAAAAGAATTCTGCAGCTACTCATGGAGGAATGTGGATCTGTGAGATATTCATGATGTTAATTATTGATCATTTCAGCTGACCTAGTCCAGGCTTTGAGCAAGACCATGTGCCCCAGAACTGGCAACTAAAATGATCATTTATTACTAGTAGGGGATACTGAGCATCAGCTATTTTAGAAGGAAGATCTCTAGATCCTATGTTCCAGACTTTAAGAAGAAGAATAAGCTTCTAATAATAAAAAAAAAAGTGCAACCCACCCACACAACCCACAAACCTCTAGAATTTTTGCTGAATTCAATTCTAGGCATGAAATTTACTTTCTGAACAATAGACACACTACATTCTAAGAAAACACAATATGTGAAAATTCAAACTTGCCAAATTAAACATAGAGAAATAAAGCCTTTTACAGAGGATTGTTTTTAACCAGGGCTTTTAAAATAAAATTGCCTTAAGTGATCTTTAAACTAGGGAATTAGTATATATCTTTACCTTTTAGGATCATGTATAGTGACGTCTCCTTATGTAAAGATCATTCTTAATATGGAATATCTAGGCTTTGGAGTCACACCCGGCTAGATTGAATCCCCTCCCCCTGCTAAGCATGTGACTGTGGTGGAGTTACTTCATCCCTCTGAGCCTCAGTTTTCCCATCTGTAAAATGATAGCAGTAATAGCTCCTGCCTCCTAAGACTTAAATGAGCCACTATCCATAAAGCAGTTAGGAGGTCCCTGCTACCCAGTACATGTGTGATAGCTCTTGGCTTCCTATGGGCTCTTTTTCCTTCTTCCTCCTACTAGGACCATATGGTGCAGCCATTAGGGAACAAAAGAAAATTTGGCCCTTCTTTGTAGCTTTAGATGCAGGGATATCAGCCCCAGCTTTATATCAAGATGTAACCTCAGACAGGGCCTGATAGTTGAGGGCTGTTTCTATCTTTCTTGCAATTATTTATTATTTAACTAATTACTTGTGTAGTACTTACTATGTGAGAGGCATATTCCAGGCACCTGATAAATACTCATCTAATCCTTCATAACAATCCTATGAAATATATCCTATTATATGTTATTCCCTCTCTTACAGTGAAGGAAGCCGAAACACAGCTTAAGTAACTGGTCCAAGAACACATAACAGTTACATGCACAGCCAGGAACTAAACCCAGACAATCCCCATTCCCTCGGTAGGCTACCGCCACATTGTTTATTTGGAAAGGCCTGCTGACACCAAAAAGCACCCAGATGTAATACAAGGGCCAGTTCTGCACAGTCTAAAGAATAACAGCAGAGCCAGAAGTATTGAAATTGCAAAAGTCTCTGTTGATAAGCTTTCATGGCCAGAATCACAGACCAGAGAGACCTAGATGAGGTTGACTGAGCAAGCAGCCTAATTTCCAGGCCTGTGGCACCATGCCCATCTCTCTCTCCCGCCACCTCAGAGGGTGCAGCCTCCTCTCCGGTTTCTTTATTCTTCCTTATCCCCTTGGGCTGGTCAATGTGAACTTCCTGGCTGTTATAGCCTAAGTGGGTAGAAGGGTAGCCAGAGAGAGCATTTAAAATAGCCAAAGAAAAAAAAGAAATAACTTGCTTTAAAATTTCAATAACTCTGATTTTTTTAATTATGAAAACAATACCTGTTTGCAGCAGATACTGCAAAGTGGCTGAGTCAGAACCATTTTCCAATCCCCTTCTCATTCCCACTTCCTGCTAGGGATGGTCACGTGACACAATCTGACCAATCAGGTGTAAATCTGTCATGGAGTTCCTGTCCTTGTTTCCCTGAGACAATCCTATCTGTGTTCCTGTCCTCTCTCTTTGAATGCATGTGTGATAAATGGAGATGCAGAAGTCACAATAAGGCCATGGAGGAAGAGCCAGGAAAGTTTCAGACATTGGTCGTAGCATTGCTGACTTGCTGAGCTCCTGTTATTTGGATTTGTGTTACTTGGAGCCAAGGACATCCTATCTATACCATTGCAGAAAAGACAGAAAATACAGGAAAAAAAATAAATCAAAAGACGGAAAATATCATCTGTCATCTTATATCCAGAAATAACCAAAATTAACATTTCAGCATATATTCCTTCCATTTTTCCTTTTCTTATTGTTTTACAAAATTCTGAAATAATACTCCAGGAAAAGTTTTGTGACTGACTGCTTCCCTATGTGCTGTGGCCATCTTTCTGTATCAGTCATTCATCTACATGTAATCATATGGATGTTCCAAGGTCTTTTTACCAACTTCCTATTGTCCAATATTTATTTTTTAACTATTGTAAACAATAATAGTGTGAACATCTTTGTAGGTGCACCTTTCTCTGATTATTTCCTTAGGATAAATTCCTAAAAGTGCTATGAATTGCTGGATCAAAGGGAAAGTTTAGGCTTTACATAGCTATGGATTAAATGCCCTTCAGAAAGGTTTTACCAAATTTTATGTATTTATTGTGGTGTGTGCCTTTTCTTTACATCATTATTAATGCTAGCCTTTATTACCTTTAAAAAAATGTCTGTCAGCTTATAGGCAATATATAGACTAATTTAATTTAATAATTTAATTATTGAGTTTGCCATATTTCTATGACATCATTTCTCATTTTCAATTCTTAACTACCTATTATGTGCCAAACGCTGGACTAGGTAGTTTAAATATGCTGTAATTTTTAATCCATATAAACTGTTATCTTTTATTTTATGAGTGAGCAAACTATAGCTCAGAGAAATTAAGTCACTTGTTCAAGATCACACAACTAAGTGGCCAGGGTGGGCTTCGCAACTGTCTGCCTGTCCCAACAGAAACTATAATAAATGAAGATTTTTTAAAAAGATGTTGCGTAAGTTATGAAAGTCCTAATTGAATCAGTCAGGAGCCATAGAGAGAGACAGCATTCCCCAAGAGGTAACTGAAGCGAGTTCACGGAAGGTAGTACTTGTGGGAGTGTGGGGAGGAGAAGGGACCAGTCAAGGGGTGGTCACACAGCAAAGGGCTATCAGTGGCAGGAAACCACTGTCATCTCAGGCTGGAGGAGGCAGAAAGAAAGACCTCTTTGGGAACCTGGTGAGATCCACAGCTGTGGGAGAGTGGCTGCTATGTGACTACACATAGAGTCACAGCCATTGCCAAACCACATAGCAGCCCAGAGACAATAACACACCCAACTCTGACCTCCTGCTGGTGCCTCCCATAGGCTAAATCTGATCAGAAGCCAGAGGACAGGACACCTGGAGAAGTAATTCGTGGAAGTCAACCTCTGAGACATACAGGACAATGGACCCACAGGGCTTCAGCCCATTCACTTTTCATTACCATTAGAAGAGCAGAACCATATCACCTGCAGCTAACTGCTGATATACAGAGCTTCAAACCCATGTGCAAGGCTGATGTGGGCCCAGATGCAGACATGTAGCAAAGGGCTCGTGCAGCGTGGTACGCAGTGACTGCTCACTACGAGAAAATTCCTCACGTTTCACGCCTGGAATTAGCATCACATGTGGATCATTCCACAAGATTCCACTTCTTATTCTTGTTACCACTGGCAACTCTCAGCCCTCAAACTATTCACCATAAAACAATAATGAAATGCAAACATGAAACAACAGCAAGAAAAGGAAAAGTGAACAAACAAAACAAAATACTTTTCCTTCTTGAGCGCACAGCGGGGAACACTTGCCTGCCCCTCTGCAAGCTGCAGAGTGTGACCGAGTTCCAGCAGACAGAACATGAGCACGAGTGAGATGCACCAGGCCCGGGCTATGGAAACCTCTCTCTTGAGTTCCTCCCTGCCATCTCCCCTTTTCCAGGTCTATATCAATGGAGCAAAAGATCCTCAGAATACCGGTTCTGAGAAAAACAAGTGATCCCATCTGTGTCTGAGCAGAAACTCTACCCTGTCTGATACCTCCTGACCTGGAATTGGTTGGTTGTTTTTAGAAACATGAAATAAAAGTTGGTGGTGTTTAGCTGTACACATACTAGTTTGTGGCAATAGCAGCTAGCGGCACCTTCATTAACACAAGAACAAACATAAGAGGGCAATACTCAGACGTGAACTTGGACAAGGATCAACAGAAACAATCAAAAAATCCCTAAAAAGCCTTCTCCAGAAGAAGCCCTCAAGTTCTAAGGCCACCGACCTTTCCCTGATGATAACTTAATTTTGGTTTATATGAATTATTATAGTCTACCAAGAATTTCACCAAACATCCCTTTTACCAAAAGTAAGAAGCCTCCAGTGAATGTTATCAATTTTGAGTTTGGTGCCCACCCTAGCCTGTGCTCAGGGCACAACTGCAGAGGTGGCTATACTTCCCTGAGTTAATGTGTACAAAGCACTTCAAACCATGCCGCACACATTGCCAGCAGCCCTGATGAATAAAAGAATAAAATGAGAAGAAGCGATTGCTGATGGGTCCCTCTCCTTACTTCTTGTCAGATAAGATTATCTCTGACACCTTGTGGCTCCTTCTGTCTTAAAAGGAAGTTGGTGAATAGTGATTGGAGGAACAGGGTACAAAGTGTAGGAACGAATGTGGCCAGTGGCGTGTCTCATTCCTGCCTCATCTGAGGCTGTCTCTCAGTGACACTGCCTAGCCCACTGGTGGCTCTCAAGGTACAACTGGACATAGGAAGCCACACTCTGGATCCAGACTGCCTGGCGTGAGTCCTGCCTGTGTCACCTACCACAGTGCGCCTGAGACAGTGCCTGACCCATATGGCTCCATAGTAACACCAGCTAGTATTACTGTGGTTCTTCCAGCACCTGCCAGCACAGAGAGGCATCCTGGACCAAGTCCCTGCCTCTCCTCCTTGGCAGATGCCAACACAGGTTGAACCTGGGAATGCACCTTGTCCTGAAGCCTGTGCTCCATCAATATCCTGTTTGACTCAACACCACTAATTCAAGGGGAAAAAATGGTTAAATGATTTGTGACCTTCACAAATAGAATGGAGAGAGCAAATCTTAAGAATTGCTATAGCAGTCTGGCAGACCTTGCTTTAGTCCTGTGACAGCTGTGGATGGAGGAATGAATGGATGGATGGATGGAGGAATGGATGGATGGATGGATGGATAGATGGATGGATGACCTGGTTACAACAGGTTTCAACTGCATGATTGGGCTATGCTACCAATGCCACCATTCTCAACAGTTAAATGGAGGAATTCCATCTATCCCATAATGACAAGAGAAAGAAGTAATGGCTATAAGACATTAAAATACATAAAGCTAAGAGCTTATATCAAATGCATGTAATAGGGAGGACATATTTTCAGTTATATATTCCATCAACTTATGGTCCAGTGTATAAGGAAGAAGATATTGCATAGCTACTGGGGTTAACACCAAGTTACCTGACAAAAAGTCCTGGTGTGTCATAGCATGGGCCAGGAGGAACATTCTAGAAAAATGGATAGACTGAGAGATAGAAACAGAGAGATTATTCAGGCCCACCTACTAAGTGCCAGGTGCTTAATGGGTGTTCCCTCATTTAATCCTCACTAAATCTATGTTTTCCAGACAGCTTTCAGGAAACCATCTGTCCCTGTGATAAAAGCTGGCCGCGGGAATTATAATGACCTGGATTGAGAACTGGACTTTGTCACTTTCCAGCTGCCCTATTTTAAAAGAGTTATAACATCTCTCTGAATCAGTGAGAAGTAAATGAATTAACATATGGAAAACACCTGGTGTGCCATAGGTGCCTAAGAAATAGGAATCTTTTTTCCTCTTCTATTAGTGGTTCTTAACTTTGCACATTGGTATCACTTGTGGAGCTTTAAAAAATACTCCTGACTGAGTCCTTCCTCCAGAGGTTTACATTTAATTGGTCCAGAGTGAGGTCTGGCCATGGGCATGGGGATTTTTTAAAAGCTCTCCTGGGTGAATCTAAAGTGCAGCTAAGGTTACAAACCACTTGTCTTAATTGAATCATCCAGTATCACATAGGGAGTTAGAGGGTGATGCAATAAAAGTATCGTTAATCACATTGGGCAGAGTTATCAGAACTGGGAATTCTAGAAACTGCTGTTGCTCCCTTCTGCTATTAAGGGAAAGAGTAACCTTTCCTTTAATGAAAGTGATCCCTCCACCAAATGTCCTCCAGGGGAGAGCCAATTTATTCAGTGAGGGAAAGGCCAGACCCCTGGTTTTATCTTGATAAAGGATACCGTTTGGGGGAAACTAATTCTTTAGGATGAAGTAAATGCTTTAAAAAGCCAATGGGTGTAATTCTTGAAGCCAAATGTGTGTTCCAGGAGCCAACATAATGGTCAGAGTTCTGCCCTCCAAAGGGACGGCTGAGATTTTGGGCCCAGGGCCTTGCTGTGTGACAAGTTCCTTAAATTTTCCAGTCTGTGCAGGACATACCCACTGTTAAAAAGAGCTGTGAAAGCTTGGTCTTCTCAGGAAAAAAATAATGCTATATTCATCTACACCCACAATTGTTTACACATACAATGTTAGGAAGTTCACAGACCGCTTAAATTTTTCTTAGATAAGCTCTAAAATCCCTCCCACTTTGATAAAATTATTTTATTCTGGTTTGAATACTGTTTAAAGGTTATTCTCCATGGGTGGGCTCTCCTGGGAGGTTGCACTTGGGAGGGGGACTTCTGAGAGGCCTGGGGGCTGAGCAGGAAATAAGGTGCTGCATCTCGGCAGAGGGTGAATCATTTCAAGGACCTTGGGC